CCTGGGAAGGTCTGAGAAAAGGTACTATGTTATGTGAATCTTCCAGCAGGAGAGTGGCGTAATACGCTGCAAGGTTCGTACTAGAAAAACGGCACACTTCATATATGATGAACGCATGAGGGCTTCACTGGTGCCAGACGTGCATATATGAAGTGTTGGAAGGAGACCCTCGTACCGGCTGTGCTTAGTGCAATAACCAGGCAAACACAATTCAGACTACTCTCTCGCCGGGTGTTTTAAATTTCAGTGGCAGTTTCAGTAGAGAAAGACTTGGAAAATTCCAGGTTTACATTTTATATTTCATAACGGTCGACATTCTAGTTTGATTGTTAAGGAAATGGTGAAAGATCGATCTTATAAGACATATAAAATTAGAGGACCATTTTCTGGTAGTCATAAATCAGTAAGGGATGAATGAACTTTTTGACGTCGCTAATTAATGCCGTCAAGAAAAGGAGTATTTTCATGCCATTCATGCAATTTTTTCAAGAAATGGAAATGAAACTTATTAATTTGAGTAGCGCTGTCGAACTTCAAAATGTCTTATTGTAATGCCAGCAAAGTTATAAATTAAAGATAATAAACTTTCAAAGCTGATTTCATTTTCGACTGAAAATTATTTATCCTTACATATTCCAGTTGAACTTGACGATGATCGACTTATTGCCTACACGATAAATCTTCAAGATTTATCATTTATCATTCTCAAAATACAATAATCGCTTAATGCATTACTCTGAGATGCTTCAGATGAATTAAATCCAATGCTTTCCGCTTTTTCGACTAAAATATTGCGAAAAAAAGTATTGAAAAGGAATATCCAGGCTACACGATGAAATTTAAACAGGTAATTTTTCGATAAGAAGGAAGTTTTCATGTTCATAGATGAATATTTTATAGCAATTAAAGAGGATAAAAAGACAAATTTATATAATTTAATATAAATAAAATAAATATAATAATCGTTCAAGATGCATATCACATCGCATACCCACCCTCTTCTTATTTAATATGTACTACGAGATATCGATGGATTAATAAAGTAAAATTAATATCTGATGCCATTCCATTTAAAAAAAAGCAAAGCTCAAGAATGCAGAGGGTCTCTAAAATGAATTTAGAAAGTGTTGGTTGTCCAGCCACATTGGAATTAAAAGGTGAAAAAATGATTTCAGGTAAATATCGGATGGGAAAGTAGAAACCGTCAAACAAGAAATTCGTTATCAAATCATTTTAATGCATCGAAAATCATCGTCAAATCTTTTAAATCAAATCTTTGAGTAAGATTTTTTGCTCGTTCCAAGTCCTTAATTGTATACCAATCATTACGACTCTTCATATTTTTGATGAAACATAATACCTGAAGTTAATTTGAATACTGATTTAATATAAATGATACATTAAGACTGACAATATTCAGGGTTAACAAATAATATATAATAATTAAGCATTCTACATTTATGGAAAATAAGTTCAAATAAATAAAAAATTTTAAATTTTTAATTAAATTTTTATTTTTAAATTAAAATTTTTTGCTCTGAACAGATTAGCCGCATTGTGATACTCGAAATGAAAAAAACCTTTTTTTTCTTTTAACAGCTCTCACCATTATTAGTTAGGCTGGCTCCACTGGCTACAAGGATAAGACTTTCCAAGCTGCTCGGTCCGATGCCATCGTTAATAGTAATAAAAGCCATTCCTTTTTCCATCGTCTAAAGTCCATATATTCCTTGGTCCACCTATACATTCGAAATCTTCCCTGACTGTGACAGTTCAAGGAAGATTTTGAATGGCCCACCTCGTTTTCAACACCGGCCTTTACAGGGTTTAGCAAATAATGAAATATATGCCAACTCTTGTGGTGAGGGACGAATAACCTGCCCTAACCAGCGAAGCTCTGTAAAGCAAGGCTCTGTGATGGTACTGTTAATGTAAGTGGTACGAAGGTAAATACAATAATATGAGATTTTATCCACTAGGCGAACGCGTAAAATGTACCTTAGGCAAAGGCACATAAGTGGTCAAAAGCAGATAATTTCTTAATATCCTCCGGCTTCATCAACTATGTCTCGCAGCCATATAGCAAGATCAAGTGAACTGCAGTTATATGGACACGGATTTTCATCGTTATGGCAATTTCGCGACTGCACCATAAAGATTTAAGGTTTAAGGTTTAACCAAAGTTTAAGGTCAACCAGAAGAACGCATTTCTAGTTGCCCCTGATCCGGGCTATAATATCGTGTTTTGCCTCGTCATTTGGTATTAAAGTGGGTCCAAGGTATTTAAAATCGGTTTTCTCAATTCTTCAACCAGCAATGAATTTACAAAAAGAGGGCATTTTATCACCTTCTTGCACATATGACGAAAAGATTTTCGTTTTATTTACATTAATCCCGAGTCCGATTCTCGCTGCAGTTGTTGACATTATTTAACATTGTCATAACTGTCAACAAAAAGGACTACATCATCAGTATATTCAAGATCTATGATACCATGCTCTGGGCTGATTAGTAGATCTCTTGAGTGTCAACAAGAGATATCTATTATCCAGTCTATCGCATAGTTGAATATTGTAGGGGAAAGGACACAGCCTTCACGGCACCAGTTCTTATTTCGAAGAAATCTATCAGTTCCCATATACACAAACCTGGGAGGATAAAATGCCTTTATAAAACAAGCAACCTCTCGATGGCCTTTGCCTTCGCTTCCATTATTCTCCAAAGCGCCATTCTATCAACTGAATCGAAAAGATGAAGAACGTGATGGATGATAGAAATTTGAAGTAGTGTTCCAATACCCTTAAATCCTTCTTAACATGGACGATCTGGTCAGCACAATCGCACCCCGGCCTGAATCCAGCCTAATTAGAGCGCATCCTGCAGTCCCGTATTGCCATAAGTCTAATGAGTAAAAGGGAAGAAAAAGATTCGCTGAGACGTCTAGTAGGCTGATGCTTCGATAATTGTCGCTTTATGTCCTATTACCTTTTTTGAGAGCTGGGAGCAGAATTGCTTTGCTCCAATCATCTGGTGATATTTCTTTCTATAATACCAGAAAACACACTTGCTGAAGATATGTTATGAAATATTATGTTATGTGTTATTATTTTTACATCCGGAGATTTCAGCCAGGAGACCATCTCCCAGAGTTTCTGAATTATTGAAATTATTTCCTAGTTTCCTGACGGTTCATAGCTGCAAACATATTGGTTGGTGAGCGATTCAGCTATGTCTCGGATGCATCATGGTTAAATTTGACTTCAAAGAATTCCTTTCATCTTATGAGGCGATCCTCAATACTCTTAACTACACCACTACTATCCCGTACCATTTCAATGATCATTTTCCGAATTATAGTTGCTTTATGAAGAAAGTGGAATAGTTTCCTATTATCACCTAATCGCCATCTCCGTGTCGCTCCAATAGTGATTTCTGTCCCGCCTTGCTATTTTCGTTGCAAATCACTTCGAAGCACTTGGTAATCAGGATCACCTGATATTCGTGCTTTGGCAGCTTTTTCAGACAACTTTTAGACAGTTACTTTCGATACCCAACTAGGGTAATTCCTACTAGTATGCCCTAGCATAGAAGCGGCTGACTTTCGGAGACATTTCGTTAGTTCGGACCAGCAACCATCTATTTTTCCAGAAAAATCATATTTATATATTGAGATGCTTAAATAATTCGGTTTGAAATGCTCCCACTGTCCCCGAATCTTTAAGTTTGAGACAGCTAAAAGAATTGAGGGATGCATTTTTTGTGAACTATTAATTTTTTGCGGATCTTGGCTTGGACCATAACATGGTTAGATCAATGAGGACTGTCCATTTAACGTCGCGATATGAACGACTATCCGGAATTCTTGAAACTGCGACTGATCAATCAATCAATCAATAATCAATATATAAACAATGTGGTTGAAGTGTTGATTGAAGTCCTGGGAGTTCTATGTGACTAAATGTTATCTACTATGCCAGAAGCAAGTATTAGTAATAAAAAGTATTCCCTATTGGCGCACCGATCTGCAATGCCATATTTGCCAATTGCTTCATCGCATCTGCATTATGCGCACATTCAAGTCTCTCCCGATTATGACCACGTTATGTTTCTGATTTTGTTAGCAGTTGAAGTTCTGCATAGACCTTACCTTTATCACGGCTATAATCTGACATTTGAAGCTGCATTTATACTGATGACTTTGCAGAACTTTTAAAGCGAGCATAAACCATATGGTCGCTTAACGGTTTCCACTCAATCAAAGCGCAAAGAGCCTTTTCAATCAATCGCTACGCCATTTCGTCCCCAGTTATTCGAAGCATCACAGTGATATAGCCAGTACCTCTTCCTCGAGCTAAGATTAATTACACTCAAGACCCGAAATGAGAAGATGGACCTCCAACAAGCAAACGATATCCACAGGATATTTAGAAACGGTGTGGACAGTGATCGCTTGATTTGCAACGTCATAAGCGTTCCGCACTCATACGGCTAAAACCTCGCAGCGCGTAGAGAGAACTGTTCCTCTTGATAGATTTCGAACAATCCTGGCTTGCAAACATATTTTTTTAATAACATTGGTATCATTTTATGCTCGGATTGTATACTTATTGCATTTACCATTGAGCTGGGAGTACCATGCGCGTTGGTGGATGCGAATACCATTTCAAGATTATCTGGCCCTTTCACCACTGAATCACTTGGGGATAGGGTTACAGATGGGTCCCCAGCAACCACCCTGATTTTTGATATTACAGCCTTACTCCAGTCGAAGACAAACATAATATTATATTATTACATTATATTATAATATTATTTATTAATAGCATAAGATGAAGTTAAAAAAAATTAAATTTAAGTTTATTTATATCCATAAAAGCAACAGCGGAATAGAAATGCAAGCGCTCAAGAAATTTGAAATTTTTTAATACATCAAGATTAATAATATTTAGGGTTAATATCAATAACTATGGTATTTACAATAATAATATTATATATAGTATTTACGCATCCTATATTTATGTTAAATAAATTTAAATAAAATTGCTAAACTAAAACTAAAATTAAATTAAATAAACTAAAATTTAGATTGCCGTATTGTGATACTCGAAATGAAAAAACCTTTAAAGGAAGATCATCAGTTCCTTTTCCTGACAATGAACGATGCAAATCAAGTGCATCGGTGATTATACCCAAGCAAGATTTGGGTAATTTCTGGAATCGAGGCAAGTTCAGCAAAATTTTTCCAAATAAATTGAACCTTTTATTAAGCATAGCTTTCCCTTAAAAAACAATATATTTTTTTATCAATTTACCAATTTTTATCAATTTATAGAACATTTCACGATTAGAAAAAACTTATTAGAAAAAACCAACTAGCGATTTCGAACAGATATGATATTAAGTCATTATGTTGCTTTTTGGAGAGCGCTTCTAAACCACCATATGATAAAAAACAGCATAATAATTCAGTTAATATCATCTGAGATTCTAAATCCAAATATATTTCTGTCGGCGATTTGTAGCTCTGTATTAAATAATCACAAATAAATATCAACGATTTATGACATTGCAAACTTAAAATAGTCGCTCTAAAAGATATAAAGATTCAGCTATATATAAAGAAAACTTTTATTTAAACAACATATGAAAATAAAAAAATATTGTTAAGAAATTTTTTATCAAATAAGTGAGTGCTTAATTTAATTCGTTTAAAAAAAGTATTAAATAACTTGGAATGACTTGGAGTGAAACAGAAAAATAAATTAATAAAATGCCGTCGAACAAATTTAATTTAAAACATAAGGAGATTTGTGAGAAAAATAAGACATACTGGTCATCGTTCAGAACTGTTGTAGATTCACCAAATTCAAAAAATGATTCCATCAGCCTCACACAAGCTGTCAAGTTTTCCAAATTATTTGCCTGAAATAATTCAAAATCCGAATAAATCTTTATGAATTTACACGAATTTCTTAATTACAAGTTTCTTGCTTTAATCCATTTGCTTACATTCCAATAATTTTTCATTCATTTTAAACAAAAAGTGCTAACGTATTTGGGATCAGTAAGAAGTGAATGAAACTGGACTAATGCAAGTGATGCCAGAAGAAGCATAAAATCTGGATCATCTTCAAACCACTCAATATCGACGATATAAACAATTAATGAAACAATTAGAAAAGATTTCAAGTGATAATCAAAATCTTAAAAAAGCAAATTAGTTTAATAAATCATAAAGATGAAAAGCCGACAATTAACAGTGCAAAAATAAATTAAAGATATAATTTAATGAAAACTTTTTACTAAAGAATATTCCTTCTGAATAACGGAGTTAATAACGGACTTGAATGGATTAAAATTTTTTAAAAATTATTCGGGTTTTACAATCAAATTTAGAAAAATTAAATATTACTTATATGAGGTGTTTGAAGAAGCCGTCTTATGACTATGCGAAGATCTGCAGACCAAGATCCCTTCGAAATATTTTTACACGATATAAAATCAGAGCTATTCATAAGTTTTTCAATTATATTCACGATACATCCAAGAATATTTACTGATGGCAGCTGAAAGTATGTCACATAAAACTTATTAAAAATTTAAATGCAAATGATTAAAATTAAAATGATCGAGAATGATAAAAAGCAATGTTTATTTTCCTTTAAATGATAAAATTATCTTATTAATCATTTAGAGAAAACATTTTAAGATAAATTATCGTTTGTGACAAATGAAATCGCTAAAGAACTTGAATAACTGAAGAAAGAAAGAAAATTACCTGATCACTATTCATTTTCAATTCATTCGCAATCAAATTCAACAAATTTATTAACTGCTTTGAAGTAGAATTCTCACCGATTAATGCGATAAATGCTAAACAAGCATTTTCAAGACTCACTGAATTCCAAATTCTGCAAGAATAAAATCTATAATGACTAGTAGATTGAGATCCTTCTGTTCAGTAACCACGCAAAAATATAAACCTGGTTTCTCCGTAGTATCTGGATTTCATTTTTAATAACTATTTAACTCGCATTAAAGGAGTCGAACTCACAATTCTTGCCCTCAGAAAGAGCAAGACGGAGCTCAATTAAATAATTTATAATTTATAATTATCTAAATAATTTATTACGTAAAAAAACAAATGAAATTTTGATTAAAAAGCGATCTCACTGAAAAAAAATGAATTTTCGTAATATGATGTCTCAGCGTATCTTTCGTTAAATAAATGTCATATAGCGAAGTAAAAAAATAAACAAAAACTTCTTCGAGACAATCGCATAATACAACGGTTGAATAATGTCAGTAAAGTTGGAAATATCGGTTTCAGAACCATTAGATAAAAGCACAGACAGCACACTGATAACTAATTCGAAACCCTCATCAAATTCCGCACTGGCTAAAGCGATGATAGATGAAATTCAATAAAAACCACAATTTCTGGACAACAAAAAGCAGGTGAAAAATTGAGTAGATCTCAATAATTTCTGGTTTCGTTAATACAGCAATAAATTTTTATCAAGCAGCCATTTGGCAATAGAAGACATCGCTCAGCACGACCATCTAAATTTTAGAAATAGCCGAAAGCAAGAGTCAAACTCTTCCCAACATTATAAAAAAAACTTGTCTCTTGGGTGGGGTGTGGGGTAGAATTAAAAACAAATTTAACGCTTTTCAACGAAAATTAAGAAGTGAAATTTGAAAGGGCCTAAGGCAAAAGAAAATTAAAAGACTTACAAGAAATATCTAAAAGCCGATGCAGTAAAAACACAGGAAAAACGTTAACGAGCTTAGAGATCTCCGCCTTGCCGAGTTCATGACATTTCAACACAGTTGGCAGCTGAAAATAAACGACTTTAAATAACTCGAAAACAACGCAGTTTGTAAATAAATAATCCCTTTCCTCTAATAAAAATGAGAAGGAAGGCAAAAGATTAGACTGGAATTACAAACCTAAAGCTGATGGAAGAAAGTCTGATGCCTACCTTAAAAAGGTACTTTTTTCTCTAAAATTTCACTATTCCCATTGATTAATTTTTTATAAATTCAAAATTATTATAAAGATTTACATCGAGAGAAAAAAATTCCTGAAAATCAGAAATAATCAATTTATAGGAAATTTTTAAAATTAGCTGACATAAAGAAGACAATGCGAATAGCTTTTATTTGAATCGCAAATTTTCAGGATACGACACAATTCCTGTGCAACATTTTCCGAACATTGCACATTTTGAATCTCGTCCTTAATTTTTGTTATATCCTCCTTATCAATGCCTAACAGAGAAAAAAATTTAGTGAGATCTAAAGCTGCATCTTCGTTTCTTATCCCTCTGTCCATACCATTTGACGATTTATTATAGTGGAATTCAACAAATGTGGATCGGCATTTACGACCTGAAAAAGGCAAAAATGGGCATAAAATAGAGAAGGCCTGTTCTTCGATTTGTAATAAAATAATTTAAAATATGGATATGGAAGAAAGAAGGAGTGCTTTCCTTCCACTCAATAGACTTATGGTAGTATGAGACAGCATAGGTTTGGACCGAGATGCGGTGACCAGATTTTCCCGTTGAGAATGCTGGATGCAGTTGGATGTTGGAACATTGCTTCAAAGGAATTAGGGGTAGGTCAAATTGCTGTATTTCAATATTCTATACCAATTTTAAATGGCTGAAGAAAGCCGATTATTATTCATTATCGCCGCGAGCATCTGTCTTTGGCAACAGTAAATCTGTCATTGACAAATTCAGTTGGAATGTGCAGTTGCAGACTCTTCTAGGCGACCCTCTGGCAAATATCAGTCAATCAGAAAAGCGAAATATTTTTAACTAAATAATAAAGGGATCACAAAATAATTTAATAAAACCAAAATCCTAAAAATTCAAAATAATTTTCAAATAACAACTTTAACAAAAATCAGTCCAAAAAATGATGACCTTAATGACTCAAAAATGAGATCTCAAAGGTGCCGAAGGTACCAACTAATATTCGGTTTCAGCGTAGCTTCTAATACTAAAAATCAGCTTGCGCGCAGATGCTGATTACCAACTGAAAACTGACAAAGTGATCTGTGATATTGTAAACGGAGGATTTCGTGAAGGAAGAGGAATGTGGTTGTACAAAAAACTGTGAAATGGGAATGGTCAAGGATTCGAATTAAGATCAAAATCGTCAAGGCACACTTTCTGCGATGGTGCAGGATGTGGTCTTTCTAATCATAGATTAAAGTTGAATTTATCGCATTGCCTTGCCTGGGACCCATCGGAGCGTCAATTGAAGTTGAATATTTGATACCAAATTAACCGTTAGAAACATCTGGTTTTGCAAAATTGCATTAAAATTCCTATATTTTAAGAATAAAATTTAGAGAATTTGCGGTTAATTTTCATCTTCCAGTTAATTTTTTGTTTTCGAACTACTTTATCATTTTTTATTATTGTTATGTATTATTATTTTTATCATTCGTTTTACGTTATAATTTAATTCTTTGGTGTTTTGGTGTTTTCTGGAAATAGCAAAATTTTGAGTCAATTTAGTGACAAAATACTCAAAATACTCAAATATTTTATGCTTTTATTGGTTATAGTTTACTGGAACACCTATCTAAAAATAGTAACCAGGTCTTTTTAATGCAAACCGCCGAGAACAAGTTTATTTCATCCACTCTGTAGGAAAAGATTTTATTGTTCAAAGCGAAGAAATCTCCGCAAAATAACTGGAAACAATATGATCGGATAAATCAATTAAATCATGAACTTACGTCTGATTCATTGAGCTGAAATAGGAAATATATTAGAACAATCATAATATAGAACCACCGTTGCCCCAAACTGTTTTTAAGGACCCAAACAGCGCCGACCATTTTAGCACCGTTTCTTTTCTAGAATCTCAAACAGGGCTCGACAGTTTCGATAATCATCAAAAACCAGCGCATCTTTTAAAATATGATCTTTTGATTATGAGAATAACCATGTAAAAAAAAGTGTTTTGACATGTAGCTCCTTCGTTATTGCGATTTGTCGTAATTTGGATAATGCGAAACTTTTTCGTTTAATAGAAATCTTTTTTTTTAAATAAATTTTCCCCTTCCTTTAATTTCGATTTTTCCGATATCTTCGAGTTCATACAAGTCCTGCAAGTCCTCAGCGGCAGTCATGTTCGAATTGGACTCATGGGATAGAGTCAACTGCGTGGCATTATTCCCTATAGTTCACAGCTGCGGTATAGAGAGATGGCATAGTAACATTTCGCCTGGTTAGTTTTAATTGAGTTATTTTTTAAGAAATAATATTGGAATTATATTCAATCGCAATCGTTAAAAAATTTTTTTCTAAAATGTTTTTAAAAAGGAAAAACATTTTCACCGTTTTTGCCAACAGAAGAACATTTCTTATCCTTTGTCAAAGGTTGTCCATCTTTGCAACAAACCAATTTTTTGGACTGAATAAGCTTTTTAAAAGCGGCGAGCACAACAATATTTGCAATGAAATTGATAACAATGGATTGTTATCAAATAAGCCAAATCCAACAAATTTTGCGAATGTTTTTGAAATAGTAATAAAGAAAAAAGAAAACAAATAAAGAAAAATAATTTGTAGAAATTGCTCAATTTTATGGCTAAACAAAAATTTTTAAATCTTTGTTTCTTTTTTCGCTTATGGAGGAAGTTTTCGTAAAGCAAAGAATCACAGCATAGTCGAAGAGAACTCCGAGAATTGATAGAAGGTTGCGGACAAGCCAAAAGTCATCGTGTCTTTTTGTAAACTCCTATAAACTTCAAATTAATGAAAAATGGTAAAGATTCAAATGTGGATTCTGGCGCCAAACGTTACTAGTGTTTTAATGTTTTATTAGTGTATTATTAAGATTTATTTAATATTTAGTATTAAAATTTGTATCTTCTATATTTTTGTAGTTTTGCTGGGAAAAATATAAATAATTATTACGCCAAAACGCTTAAAGACATTATTATTCTATTATTATTCTATTATTATTTATTAGTTATTACACATTTAAAGACAGAACAACAAGAACAACTATGCTCAAATATATGAGCGCTGGAAAATTTTCCTTAAAATGATTTTAAAAATCAAAAAAATGATTGGAACATCTCGGATGGCGCGCCAGATGCAGAGAAAAGGAAGTGACAAGATTCTGAAGAATCAAACAAGCAAGAATCAAACAACGATGGTTCAAACAAAAGCTCTAAAAATTTTCTCAGAAAATAAAAAATTGAATGAAACCAATTATGTAATTTGTTTCAATTCTTTAAATATAAAACTAATACTTAATATCTGCAAATATTTGATAAATTATATTTGAAAAGTTTATCTTTTTTAAAAACAGTTTTCTCTTGCCAAAAATGGAACTACCCCAACTGAAAAGGTTCCAACAACCTATTGGAGCCACTGCACCTTTCCCAATTCTTAAGTTATAATCACTAATTGCTTATTGCATAATTGTAAATAAGAATAAATATTGCCATTCATAACCATGTAAATAATTATTTTTATGAACTAATTCGTTCAAATTTTACAAATTTAACTTTTTGTTTTTTCGATGACTTCATCTGTATTATTATTGTTTTATTATTCATAGACAACAAGCAAAAGATCTCGGAAACATTTGGTGCCACATGCTATCGGAGTGAATCAGTCCGAAACAGTGGGTGGGTTACAAGAAAGGCAAAATAATATTGACCTGCTTAATATTCAACGAATATTTTTTAATCAAAATTTTTTAAAAATAAGTTTAAAAGAAAGCTTTTATTTCATTTAGCTATAATGTGGTGCATGGTTGGATTTTTTCTTATTTTTTGCGATGAAATCGTTGCGCAAAGGTAAGATATTTTCCACAAAAAATTGAAGAAATTACAAAAAATATTGATAAATTCTGTAATAATTTTCATTTGCATTTTATTCGTAAATTATCTTATTAGCAAAACAACGCGACATGGCTCCTAAACTCATGAGCTAATAAATTAACCTTTACTTCACGTTCAGTCGATAAATATTTCGCAAATATTTGCCTAAAAAACTTACCCTTGATAAATTTCCGAAAAATCTCTCTTGTTTCAATAATCTATAATCTGATAGGATTTATTAATCAGTCATCAGCTAAAATGCTAATCAGAAATATTCGGAAATAGCCTCAATCCTCCTTAATCCTATGGAACGAAATTTAAAAATATATATAACTTTTCAATTAAAGAAAATAGCTATTAAAAGAAAATGAATCGTTGGGTAAAGATACCTTGGATTACACTCCTATCTGTCGCTATTTCTAAAATTTTCATTAAAAATGACATTTAGGTAATATAAGATAATATAAGATTTCCAGTTTTATTGCATTAGACTTCTCATCATTCAGGTTTTTTGCCTTCTGTGATTTTCTAGATTTAATTCCTGTTAACGAATGATGCAATTAAAAAGATATGGTCAATGCGACCAGAAGAAGATGTTTATGATCATACCGTAACTTATAAATTTTCATTGTTTGGTAATTTGGTTTCAAGGATTTCAAGGATTAAGAAGATGGAAGATAAGCGTGCCATGGAAAAATATAATCAAAAGCTGAAAATGTATTATCGGTGCATGAATCGACGGGATGCTTGGTATGCTAATCGACCTACTGCTGTACGAGCAATAACTATAGAAAGAGGCGGCGAATTAAATATTAAATGTTTTGACTGGTAAAACCTTAATCGCATTTTTAGTTCGACTTAAATAGCTATGGCTGCACTTTTACAATAATTTCCTCACCGAATTTTGCCATTATTGCAATATAATATGTTAATTTCAAACAATAATAAACTTGCAAAATTAATTACGCCAGTGTACTAAAAGATATATGAAATTAAAATGGACAAAAATAGGATATACTTAAAATGCATAGGATGGCATTTATTTTAGACCAAACTGGAGAATCAGGTAATTAAGCAATTTTTCTCTATTTTTCTGAAAAAAGCTTTAAAAGCTTTTTGAAAAACGAAGTTGAATTTGAAATAAGACTGAAGTATTCGGAAAAGAGAAATAATCATAGGTAAATCTAAACGAGAACACTTCCAGTTTGAGCCCGGAGGAAGAGAATGAAGTTGAAGAAGTTTGGAAGCCAAGTGAATCCTTCCTGGGTAAAAAGATTCGCAAAATTATTGATAAAGTTAAAGATGTATGGCATTTAGTTTCCCTTTTATATAATTTTTTCCACATTTTATAACGATTATACAAAATTGTCAATTAGTGGTTCACATACTTATTTAACGTTGATACGATATGTTCATATCGACTGTTATTATTATTCTACCCTTAAGTAAACCTCAGAAATTTCGTCCAACTGCAGCCAAATTAGAAATGGGAAATATTATTTGAAGAAGTCAGTGGCTTAAAATATACCCTCTCTACAAACACAAAAATATAATCGTTTGCTTCAGTCGATCATGCAAAACTTCGATTTCTATGAGAAAGATGAACGAATTCGGTGGGATTATACATGGGAATGGGCAAATTTTAGCAGCGGTTCTGGTGGAAATTGGCAAGATTTAATCAAGTCGCACAATTCAGATTCGCTATCAATAACAGAGAAAGCACTTCAATTACTTCGAGGGTCTGAATGCGATAGCATTTGAGTGACCGTTTTGCTTATAAGTTTTCAGTGAAAGATATTCGAACATTAATCCAAGTAAACAGTAAATTTCCAGTTATTTGACAAAGAAGCATCGTTATAAATTCGGTGATCACTTTGAATTATCCATATCGCCTATGGACAAAGATTATATGGGATGGTATCGTTGTATAAAACGAACAAATGATACAAGACATATCACTAATATTTTTTATGTTGATGTTTTCTCGATTATTGCGACTAAAGTGGTATATAATTTATTAATTTCAGAATTTAAGTCAAAATACATGACCTTATTTTTCTTGACTTGTCTTAAATTGTCTTAAATCTCATTCAAATAATCAGCGAGCCAACCAAACTGGAAACGAAATACATACTTTTAGAAGAACAGAATGATGGAATACTTTAGACTTGATATGTTTAAATGGTTCATTAGCGCTCATCACTTCTGGTTCTTCCTCCGCTAATTACGTTGGAAATACAGTAGGAAATCGAAATGGCCATTTAGCGATAGAAATACAGGTGGATCGCCGTCATCTGCTTTTTTGCTGACAGGTTTACTCCTGTCGAGCTCTCGAGCTCTTTCAGGCTAATAATTTGAATCACTATCCTCTATGCAATCTTGCCACTTATTTCACTGTTTTCATTTCATTTTGCGCAATACACAAAAATTTAAATCTGCCAAAAATTGTAAGAGGGATTGGATGGGACCAAAAATTTCCATGCATCATCACTAAAAGTTTCTTTAATCAACAAAAGAGAAAATGCTAAAAAAGAATATGATAAAATGATAAAAAAATTGAAAATGCTCAAAAGTATTTTAGGTATTCCGTTCTAATGTTAGTGATAATGATGATAGTGTTATTGAAAAGGCAATGGCATATCAATCAACAAAATATAATCTCGAATCATATGCCAAAGCAACTCATTGGACAGACTGTAATCGTTGTGGCGAAGGTGAAACAAGACGTTCGGTTTCGTGTTTTATTAAAGTAAGTTTCGATCCACTCGTTTAACTTAAAACTAAAATATTATAATGCTCAAGATCGCTTAAGAAATTCGATAAGTTAGTGCGACTTAGAACGTTTAAATTTGCAATAATTGAAGAAATTTTCGACTAACGACGAAGATCTTCCAGCGTATAAATGAAAACATGATGAACAGTAACAATGGAACGTCATATTTACAATTATTTTCGGATATACCTTGTCGAAGTTCACTTGTGCCACTTGAAGTACGCAATAAATTTTGGTCCATTGAGGATATAGAGGAATCGAAGCGATGCACAGTTAGGATTTATCGCCTGCAAATGTTTTGAATAAAAATGGAAAAAATATGAAAATTAGATGAACTAAACACCGATTGAAGCGTATCAGAAAGATATTCGGTAGAATTTATAGGGAATTTCAGAAAAGTATAAATAATTTGTGGTGCGACCCAATTAGAAAAACAAAGATTTATTCATAATTTTTCACAACAAATAATTTAGTTGGTATGTACTAATAAAAGTGAAGAAAAAACGAGGATAATCGAAGGGATGAATGAAATGGGAAGAAAAACCATAATTGATGTATTACCACCCGGAGAATATCAAATAAATGAACGCCTTCCTCCCCTTAGGAAGAAAGTTGTACGCAAAACGATCGTGGTACGTCTTTTCTAAGTTTCAGTTCTCTAAGTCTAATTTTCTTAAGAAACTGATCCTGGCAGAAGTAAGCCTCATTAAGGAAATCCCATGTGGATCGAGTCTTCTATCGCCAAATGACTCCCTGGCAAAATTTCAAACCACAGCCAGCTATCCTAACGAGAAACATTCAGGTGAAGGAGAAAGATGCGTATAAATTATCGTGCGGTTTTGCTGAAAATGGAGTTTATTGGATGCTAAATGAAATCTATATTTCATCAGAGAGTTTATCGAAAAATTATAAAGATAATCGTATATTTATAAATGTTAAACATGAATTAGTAATCCGCTATCTGACGATGGACGATGACAAAAGTTTTTATAGGTTTCATATTTTTCTTTAATTTTTTATTAATTCGAGTGCAATTTTTTGTCCTGAATTAGTTTTCTTTTTTCCCCTCGACAGGTTTCCTTAATCATTCAACCTTATAAGCATTTATTGTGATAATAGAAGATTATCATTTCAGTTGCCATACACCGGATTCGGATGTCGTACGATCATTCAGTCTGATTGTCAATCGCAATCAGCAGTGGCAAGAGCAAGTTGAATATATCAAAATAACGATAAGGTGGCCTTGAACTAATGACTATTCCTTTTGACGAGCGTGAATTTTTGCGTCTTTTTAGAGAAGCAAATTGCCATAAAGTTAGAAAAAATAATCGATAATCGCTAGGATTTCCTTTGGGGCAGTAATAACATTTTTAGATCAAAGTGATTGGTTTCCACATTTAACCCATCAACAGTTCACATGCAGATTAAAAGAATTGAAAATTCGATTCATTTTCGATTTGAAACATTTTTTGTGATAATTTCAGGTTCGGAGCATTCGTCTTAATAATGACAATGGTATTCACGATCGTACTGAAGAGAACTGCTCCTAAAAAGGAAGAAGGAATAGAAGGAATAACAGCAATACGAGGATTCAATGATCGCATGACAAAAGTGCGATCGGTGGCCAAATGGTGGCCAAATGTTAACCGAATGGCACCTTTACACGAAATGCAAAATGAAACTTTTCAGCAAATGAACATTCCCAACACTTTTGCACTCAACGATTTTCAGTAAAAAATCAAGCAAAAATTTGCGATCAAAATTTTTATTTTTTTTAATAAAAATTTTGGTGCTAAATTACAATATTTTAAAACCAAAGAAAAGTATGAGCATGGGAGTCCTTGAATATATAGAAAAATGGCATGACATGCTATAAACTTACTTAGCCAAACAGAAAAATAATTGAGGATCCTTAGGATCAGGATCGAGATTTATATTTCTGAGGGCACTGTGGTTCGGCCATATCATCAGTCGAAGACTGGATTACTCACTCGATACGTTTGTTTATGGAAATAATTCCAGGCAATGTTGTGACTAACATGCACTTTTATCGTCAAGTAAAATGAGGTTTAATCATATTAATAAGTGCATAGAACCAATTCAGAAATGGTGCAGAAGATCCACTTTTAGTTCTAAGCTGTAAATCTTAAGTTTTTCAAGTTTTTCAAATGAGATTCTTCACCAACACCACCCCTCCACCTTCATAAGCCAATAAAGCACTGCGAAGACAACAAATATTTCGAGGGTCCCGTGGTCCCCAACAGTCAGACCACCTAACAAGGTGATTTCGGCTTCCACTAACGAGCAACTATGAAAACTGGCCGAATTTTATAGTAAAGCGGTTTGTTCATAAACGTTTGTATGGCTGACTTTTAGAGATTATGGGAGTTTGACGTGTATTAATTTTTTCAAAAATATTTTTTTTGATTGTTTTGCAGTGAGTGGCTTAACCGTTCATTCGTCGTGTAAATATGTGTAAAATTTCCAATTTCCAGTTCATTCGATTAGTCATCATTTGTTTTTTGCCAATTTCAGGTTCGTTCGTTCTTTTTATGTTTTCTTTTAATTTTCCCGCTTATTTTTATCGTTTTAATTCCCAAATTTAGGCAGTTCGGATGATAAAGTAAGGCTGACTGATGTGACAGCGCTCACGCTGCGAAGAGGCCAATACACAACCGCGCGGCGGTCGCCGGCTGTGCCTCAGTTGCGGTGTGTGGGTGGGAGTGCCAAAGGACTCTACGAACCTGCGGTAATGTATTATAAATTTTAGAATTTCAAATGTTGGTTCTTAGTTTAAAAAATATCCATAACAAACCACTCTTTAACTGCTGCGTCGATTTTTTCGGGGTTTTTCTCTTTTTTAATTCATATTTTACAACGTAGTGTAGATTTGATGGAGAATCTCCTTGAGTTTTGCCTATTTAAACTGCTGTAAATATCAGGTCATACAATGCTACAATAGAGGGTTTGATGGCGCGGATATGCAGTGGGAATGTAAAGCAGAAATGGATGAAGCTTATCAGTTTGGAATGGTGACTTTTGTTGCTTGAGATTTAATCTATTAGATTTAATCCTCAACCTATTACTTCTTCGGATAATTATATCAGTTTACATAAATTTGTGGTTTTTGGAATTCGATGAAAGAAATTATATTACGTTTAATCTATATATTTACCGCATCTTTCATTAATTAAGAGAATTAAGTTTATTAAAAAGGGATTTTTTTCATTCCAATTAAATATTCCATAGAAAATAATTTTCCATCAAAAATACTCCATATTTAATTCCAAATTTTCATATTCTTATTTTTGAAGTTTATCATTTTTATTTTATCAGATTCAAATCTCATGTGAAGGATATAGCTATCCAGAAGATCCTTATATTTTAAGAGGTTCATGTGGTGTAAGTTAGCATTTAATTCTTTTATTTTTATAAAATTGCTCTTATTATGTTAATCTGTTCCTCATTTCATCGCTAGGGAATAATAACAAAACTTCGGCTTTGGATTCAGACATGCAGTCTTTTAAATATCGGGCATCAAACATCGGGTTTCTATCCCGTTTTTTACTTTTTTTCTGTATTTTGATTTTAATAATAATTATTTTATTTTAATTTTATAAATTTAATATTTTAATTTTCTTTATAACATTACGTGTTTTTAAAATAATGCCATGTCTTCAATATTTCAATATGTTGATGATGTGACCATAAAAGTGGGAAAATACACGTGGCACTAAATTTTTTTACGCACTAAAGAATAAATTTTTAAGCTACAATACGAATTGGAGAAAACGAAATATTATGATAATAGATCGTTGAAGCAGAAAAATGAAAATGATGAGTTAGTTTTACTTTTAAAATTTCGAATTTTTATGCAGAAATTTTTCTCTCGAGACACTAGTCCATTTTCACCGGCATCGTAATTGCAGATCGGGTTATTCAACATTGTTTACTCTTGTTCTTATTGCATGTCTTTTCTATTTTGTTTATTCTGTGTGGCCATTTTCACGCGATGGAAACAATAGAGATCATTTTGGCGGTTATTTTTTTTTATTTTTATTTTCCAAGTATGTTTCATAAAATATAAAAGAACGTTACATTAATGTTATTTGTAGCTGTTGCATTTTTTAAAAATATGAAAACCACATCAGGTAGCAGAGGTTGGGATGAAGGACCGCCTCGTCCACCTGGTTCCAATGATAGATCTGCACCTCCGCCGGGTTTCAAGAATCAGTCATGGGCAGCTCCACCAAGTTATGAAGAATCTTGTCATAGTGCCTCAGCAGGTTTCTATCAACAAAGGAATCATGGAAATGATGGTCCAGGCTTCTTTTCTGGCCTGGGTCTTGGTGGATTGGCAGGATATTTATTTGCAAGGAATCAAGATAGGTATTATCAAAGTTTCACTTTTTGTGCAAAATAAATAAGTACTTTAATCATTAAATTTTTAGTTATCAATTTCGTTTACTTTTATTTGGGTGGTGATCCTGTAATTCTATTGATTCTTGCAAAATTATGTAGTCGTTGAGTCAATGGAATGTCTAAATAGAAACGGCTTGCGCTCTGATAAAATGGGAATATCTTTTTTAATGGGAATATTTTTAATTACTTCTTTTTTATTTTAGCTATTTTCAGCAGCGAAAACAATACGTATCGAAGGCGAGACCATTCTTTTTTTGATAACTATGGTGGATTTTACGACAGTCAAACAAATAATAACGAAAGGCCTTCAACAACTAGGACAGCAAGTGGTTAGCATCAAATTATCTTATTCAGTTATTTCTATTTATTCTGACATGAGATAATGGTAACTTATAAAATTCTATAATTAGGAAATCAGATCACCATGAATCTCTTATTTTATTCTAGGATTCGGTGGAACTGTTCGCAGATGACATCTTGTATCTACTGCAACAAATATAAAATATTTATGTATAAATATACCTATTAAATATGCTTCCACAAGTTTTTCTAAAAAGTTCTAGAAAAAAATAAAAAAAGATAGTTCAAACGGTCAAAACGATTGCATTAATACTTTAAGCATAAAAAATCATTCCAACATTACGAGGATTGATTTCAATTCTTATTAGAACATATCAATTTTTTCGTTTTTTGAATAGCGTTAGGTTCACTCCGATAAATTTTGAGTTGCTTAGCGATAGAAGAAAACATGAGTCGCCATCCCGCGAGGAACAAAACTCAGCGTCGTTCGGAAACAAAAGCAACAACCAACTGTACCATTTTGCTATCCCAATTACAATTTATTTCCTTATTTATTTTTTATTTTCTTGGAATTTATTATTTTTTATTTTCTATCTTTTTATTTATTTTTTATTTATTTTCTTGGAATTAGTAAATCAAAGGTTTGCAGGAAAATTTTATTCATCATTTAAATAAAAATTATAAAAATTTAGTGGTAGGATATATAGTAAAATAAATTAGATCATTGTCAATGAGAAGAAAATAATTAATTAAATAATTTACAATATTTGAATTTATTAATTTCAGACAACTATATTATCTTGAGTGTAATAATTTTATATCTAATTAAATAAAACATTAAATTAGTTAATTTGTTCAGCATGGTTAGTTAGCAAATAAAAAAAAAGGCAAAAGAGAGATCAAAAAAATCGCGATTTAATTAAAATTGCAAAACCGATGGGTCCATATAAAGTAAATTTTTCGTTCCCATATGTTTTAATTTATGATGCTTATTGGTATGAAGATATTGCTTATAGCAGTTATCACATATATGAAAGGGAGTAGTTGGTAGTGAATCATCTTCAATTATCCAACTGCAAATACCTTGTTTAAAATTCTTTAAAAAAAATAAAAATAAACTTGGAGAAAACTTAAGTGAAAGAAAAAGAACACAAACCCCGCAATACTATGGCGACAAACTTTGCAGCGATTTTCGATACTGTTGTCAGACAATTTTTGTGGAAACCCAATAGGATAATCCTGAATATCCATTAATCGCAAATCGGTGAAAAAGAACACGTGCTCGCAGTTTCCCTGATGCACATAAACGTAAGGAAATCCCAGTCGGCATGTAATATCTTTTACCTTTAGTTAGAACAAAATGTAAATCTCGCATGAAAAATTTTAAAAAATTTATCCTCTGAAATAAATAATAACCTTGTGGTTTCCCAAATTCTTAACTTCAGTTGGCCCAAATTCGTTCTTTTTCTTTTTCATCCAACTTCTTATTGGCCTGAAAAAGTAAAACGTTTCAGTTTTAAAAGATGATCAAGGTGTTGAGTCAGTTCATGTCTAATATATTTAACAAATATATTTACTCGGAAATGTCAGTAAGCGGCATTAATTTTGATTGGTCGATTTGAACCAAGGTTTCCTTAAAACATCTGTATGCATCCGCGATGTAAAATGTATCATGGATGAAGATGAATGATGAAGGATATTTAAACTGAAATAATAAATGCACTAAGATGTCAGTTATAAAGACAAAGATGCTCATTTTTAAAAAAATATTAAAACTGTTAATTCCCCCCCCCCCACACACACACACACTTTTCCTTTTATTAAATTCTAATTGCCTATTAAGCAAAAATTACTAAAAGAAAGAATTTAATACAATTAAGAAGAAAATTGAAAAATTTTCTTCAATTTCTTTTTTTAAATGAATTTAATTTCATAAAAAAATTCATAAAAAAGAAAAAGCAAAGAGAGATAATGAAGAACATACAAAAGTAAAGTCCTTGAGCTCAGGATTTTCTTTAGTTTCTGCTCCAAATGTAAGTCCAAAATCAGATGTACATTTAAATAAAGAATGCATTTCTACAAGTGTTGTTTCGCCACGTAATAAAAATTTCCAATATGGTCGAATCTTGATAAACAGGATATTAGGAGCTGCGTAAAAAATATAAAAATATTAATATTGCTTATTCTAAAAGGCAAAGGTTCATTTTTTAAAAAAAATTTTAAAACTATAAATTTACCCCAATACTTTTCTTTTCATGAAATTCTAATTGCCTATTAAATGGCCTACAAATCGTTAGGGTTACAACGAAATCATTTACTACTGCTTCACCATATCCAGTAGATCGAGTCTTTCTCAGTTCCTGTAAAAAAATATGCCGAAAATTACCGATTTTGTTTTTGCCTTTGGATTTGTAGCTTTTTTAAATAGAGTATTAGAGTATAGTAAATGAGTATTAATAAGAAAGAATTTTAAAAAAACCAGAATACCCTCCAAAATTGCAGATTAAAAATATAAATATATAACAAACATTTTCAAAATAATCCGAATATTTTGACAATGAATTTGCATAACATATAGTGCAAGAAATATGCCTGCGGATATTCAAATCAATTTCTTTTGCACTGAAATTATTTCGTTGATTCAACAAAAAAACTCAATGCATCTTGCTTATCTCTTCAAAAAAATAAAAATATTAGGAAAAAATATTGAAAGAAATTATTAAAAGAAACGTAACATTGCATTTGCAGTTTTTGGCAATGGATCTTTTTTTATTGGATTCAGAATTTCCAGAGTGCTTTTTTTAAGCCTGAAATCATACAAACTTCCATTGTTTGAGAAGTGATAAAAGAAAAAAAATCATACATCAAATTGTTTCTATAAATTATAATAACAAATTATATCAAATTATAGAAAATACTGTAACCGATGCAATCGATTATAACCAAAAATGAATAACCGAATTTATTTTTTTGTATTATATAATCGAAGAATATCGGGAAAAAAAGAAATACTTTAGAGTCTCCAATTCTGTATCTGCTGGAACATCTTCGAATGCAACATTTGGCCGAAACATAATATCACGTCTATTAGTCACAGCAAGATGTTCAAGACTTAAATAAATATTTTCGAGAAAACATCGAATTATAACTCTCATTAAGCTTTAAACTTCGAGAAAATAAATTTTCATTAAAAATCATATATTCGTGAAAAAATAACAAGAAATAAAAGAAAATTTCTAGAAGTTTTTATTAAATAACAGAGAAATAAGTTGAAAAGTAAAAATTTTCAAAAATAAAAAATGGCAGACTTCATGTTAGCAACAGTTTCCTTCGCTTCTTCTTCCGAGACAGCAAAAATTTCGATAATCTTATTGATATCATCATCACTCGTATCAATTTCCGTATTTATGCTTTCCTTTAGAGCAACATTCGCTTTAGGTATATCGTCGGGATAAATGAAATCTCTTAATGGCTTTAAGCCGACAATCGCGCGAAGGCGATCTCGTTTTGCTATAGCATCCTATAGTAAATTACTGATTCAATTAGTACCAGAGTAAGAAATAGAACTGGAAAAAACAAAAATTACTGTAGAAATTATTTAAATTATTTAAATTCAACCCAAATTTTAAACGAATATTTATTGTTCATAAAGTAATTTAATTTAATTTTTCAAGAAATTAGAATTTCCTATAAAAAACAAAATTTTAATAAATTTTATGATAGAATGCTATACAGTTCAAATGCTAAAAAAATTAAATGAGGAAACTGGCGCCTTAATTCACTGATGTTGCATTTTTTCACGTATTATCGAATCCATGAAAAATTCTTTTCTTTTCTTATATATTCTTTTCCACATTTTCCAGTCAAGCAGGTTAGCCGATGCTCTCGATGCTCGGACCTCACATCAGATAGAAACCAGCTCGCGCCTAACATCCGACAGGAATCAACTCGGACCTCACATCAGACAGGAACCAGCTCGGACCTTACGTTCCAAAGCAATCACTGCGAAGATTCGAAGACGATGATTTCAAAAAAAGATGGTAAAATTAACCTCTTTAAAAGCGTTAAAATTAACTAAAGGCGATATAAATTCATGTTCGTCGGGCACAATTTGTTTTTCCATCGACATTTTGTGCTCTTTCCGATGAAAAACAAGGCAGCGACTTTATCACCGTCGATAACATTTAATCACCTCGTTTCCACAAAAATAGCGCAAATCTGCACTTCAAACCGCATTCCGAAATTTTAAACTCCATAAAGCCGTATTCTAGATGTACATTACTAAAATTCAGACTGCATGCTTCTACGCGTGTTTTTTATAATATTAAGTCAGAGTGGCAGGCGGTCTTTCCTTTGTTTATCGGTTGGACAGTTACTGTTGTATGGCTAAACGAATGTTTTGAGTAAGGCTTGGAGACTGCGGAAATGTTTCAGAAACCATTTGTGACAAAAAGCTCGCAGACGTTGCGCAATTCGCAAAAGTATGCTTTTATTTGACACCTTTATTTTTTGTTTCTTGCGGTGATTTTTATACAAGAGTTTTCACCATCACTGGTTAAACTCGCTCCGCTGGCTTTTCGCACTGGACAAATGTGCCAGGGAGTCGCTCGGCGACAGAAATGCAGGCGAGTCGCCAGCATCACCCTCTTCTAGCGGTCATTGCATTTTAATTTGTCTACGCGGTGCTAGGATGAGAGGTTCGCTGGAAGGTGGAGGGAATGTTCAGCTGACATCACTTACATCACATCACCGCTCGAATTTCACTTTTAAGGACACGTTCGCTCACGTCTAAGAACAAAGTATAATGGCTTGATTCTCGTCGAGCAACGTTTCGCCTGCCACCTTTATTCGTCGTCCTTTTTGTTTTTTTCTTTTCGAGAGCGATATTTTCATTGTTTTGCATTACTTTCCTATTAAATATGCTTTATTTATCGCTCAAACATGTGCCATTTTATGCTTTTTTATGCACACTTATTCACTTTATTAAATCACTTTCGACCTTTTCCTTGTTGAATTATAATTTTAGGAGGAAATTATTGGCGCAGCTGAATTGCCTAAATTCGATTAAAAATAATGCACAAGCGGTGAATATAAAAATTTTGAATCACGAAGGTGTTCGTATTGACATTTATAATTTCGACAAAATTCCACTTCTTTTCCAAGTCGATGGAGATTGCAATTTATATCCAACTGGTTTATTAATTCCATTTAATTTCGCTTTAAAGCCGGTCTAAATCACTGACTATCACGTTTTTCAGCTGAATAGCCTTTTTCTTCCTTTTTTCAAAGCTTTAGGCGAAAACATTCTTTCTTAGTTGAGACCGAAGAAAAAAAGATCTTTAAAGACAATTAAAAAGATGTTTTTGCTCTTCTTATTAAGTTCTATTTTTAATTGGCCTTAAAAGCTATTTTTTATATACATTTATGATTTTTCAGTTTATTTGTCTTGGTTATCACAGTCAGCTGCCCCAGTACTTTTGATATATGAACAGGTGCTCAAATTCTTAAAAAATGGAGCCGATTTGATGTTACAAGGTAATTTCTAAAATTCTTCCACACATTTTGTCAAAGGATTTTTTATATTTTTCCAAAATCTTTTTTCACCAAATTTTTCGCTGAAAGAAATGATATTCAGTTTCTTTTCGTTTCGAATTTATTTCTTATTCAGCAGATTTGTTTTGGCTTAGTATTAAGTTCTTGGCTAGAACCTACTCTAGTAAAAATGCTGCAGTAGTGACGGACTTCTCATTTAAAGTTCGATGCCATTTCCAATGCTTTACCACCATCCACAAGGGAATGTACACATACATACTAACATAGGTAAGTTATTCAATTGGTAATGTGATACCATCAGCCAGAATTTTTAATTGGTGAAAAAACTGGTAATCAAGAAATTCAGTTTATAAATATAAATATAAAAGTTTTCTTAAAGTTTGTCCATATTTAGCCTTTGTTTTTTCAAGGTGTTATCCATAATAAGGGATCATTACCCGATTTCGATAGAAAATCTCCTATCGCGATTTCATATATAAAAGATAATGGGACAATTTGCGGTTATTTTCAATTTTTATTTCTATTTAATAATCGAATTCTTTATCATTAGCAAGATTTCATCATTTATTTTAAATGAAATCAATTTAGTTTATATCGATGAATTAATTATATGAATTCAGTGAATTTTTTTTTAAAAGTTGCTAATTTTCTTGTTATTCAGGACCAGTGGCCATTGGTGTTACGTTAATGTCTTCAATAGAAATGGTAGCAAATGGAATGAAAGGAAGAGGCGTTCAAATTCTTCATATTTTCGGTGATTATCTATGGTTTGCTTTGAATCTCCTGTCTATATAATCTGTTATTTCTCGATTTTGTTCTTTTCTTTCTTTCGATATCTGTTGCCATAATGCATATATAAATCATACTTTAGGAAGATTATTTTTAATGATTTCTGCAAACTGATAAAGGTATTTGAATTCAGAAATATTCAGTCGTAAGATCCGGTTATATTTCTTACATTTTTTTTACGACCTGTTTGCTTTTTTTCGATTGACTGTAAATTATGCTGTCATTTTACTAATTTGACTATAGGGATAATATGTTCAAATGAAAGAGTTACTGATTGAACGTAAATTTATGAGTTTCTTGGTAGGAATAAATCATTAAAATTAAAGCTAGTAATCTGGGTAATGTTGGAGTATTGGAAACTCACGTAGAGCTCAAAATTAGACTATATTTGAAAGGAGATAAACCAAACCGGTAGTGTTGAGTGTCACTAGATAAGGAATATTGTGAAATTTGTCAATTTTTGTTTCAAGTGATATCTCTTTTATAATTTTAACTTTTATAAAAAATTTGTTTAATTTCTTCAAGATTTATTTGACTTGAGATTAAGGAGATTAAACTGAAAAAGAAACAATCATCAAGAAACAGCAAGCTGTAAAAATCTTCTTTCTTTTTCTTTCAATTAATGCTTTAAATGTTTTGAATTTTTAATTTGTTTACTTTAAAATCCAAATAATTTTTTTTAGGCGGGAGGGAAGTCGACAAAATCTTCCGGAAAATTTGGTACAGATTTCTGCTTCATCTCAGCTAAGTAATGATGATGAGTTCCCTTCACTTTCGGCTTCGGCCATCACAGAAAGACAGTCTAGGGGCAATAATATTATACCCACGAGTTCTGAAGATTTTCCATCATTAGGCAGACCTAATTTGATCGAATCAAATGAACAAAAGCTAAAATTAATTTGTCATAAAGAGCCACTTGGAAACACTGAAGAAAAAGAAAAATATGAAGAAACAATGGAAGATTTGGTTAGTTATATCTTTAAAATTTATTTTTTTATCGAAATCGTCTTACGCCTTTTGCTTTTAAACTTTTTATTGAAAAAGATATTCGTAGTTTGATAAATTTCAGTTGCAACGATGTTTTCTTGCTGCTTTAAAATTTCGTATAGGAAGAAAATTTACGCTTCCACTTGATGTGGGTGAATTTTATTCACATTACTTATTGCGAACTGTGCCAAAAAATAAACAAATTGATATGAAGAGAACGCGGTTCAAGAAATTTTCAAAATTCATTAGCGATGTAAATCGCAATGAAAACGGGCCATTATTAATTGTTGCATGCAAAAATAAAGGACAAGTTATGATTACTGAGGTATTTTCATGTGAAAAATTCATGAATTTTTCTTGGTTTTCTTCATTTTTTTTGTTTGAACAGATCAGCCAGAATTTTAAGAATTTTATTTTGCAATTTTTTATTCATGCTTAAATTTTTTTTATTTTTAAGATTAATTGGAATCATCCTATGTTAATAAATTTTCAACTGTGTGATGAAATGATACATGATGAGGAAATTAAAGATAGATCGATTATCAAAGTGGATGTGTTATATTCATTAACAGAACCCGTTATGCCATTATTCAGTCTCCTTGGCTTTGCAAAGGGAAATGTGCTCACTATAAAGGAGTTGCGAGAATTGATAAGATCGTATATCGAAGTTCGCGTCAGTTAATAGATCCATTGTCTTTTTTATTTTTTGTGTATTTTTTGCCTTTTTGCCTTTTTAGCCTTATAGATATTGAAAAAATGCATATGGAATGGAAGAGAAGAAATATTTGTTGCATGTATTTGTTACTTTTACAAACCCATATAAGCTCTAAAAAGATAAAGTTTTCCTCGTTTTTTTTAGAATCTTAACCACGATAAATTAGTCAGATTATCTGACCCTATCCTTCAAAATGTTTCAAATCGTCATGACGAAGATATTGACTGCAACGCATTAATACAGTCCATAATCTCGAGAACTACAAAAGTATATTCGATAACGTTTCCCGATGGCCGCAACATTGTGAGGAAAAAAGATTTGCCTAAAATTAATTTTAAGGTTAATTAATTTCATTTATTTGTTCGAGAATAACTGTTCAAACGCATTAGATTAGGTTAAAAAATTAACATTTTTTATTTTTTTTATTCTTTATTTTTTTTTAATGACTTGTGAGATCGAATAACTAACTGTTAGTAAACCATTTGTTTTCAAGTAACTTTATTGTGAGAACTCTCTTATCTTATAAATGATTAAATGATTAAACATAGTGATTGACAAACTGATGTTGGCATCTAACGGTAAGAGAAGAAAAAGATTGATGTCCACATATATCTATAATTCGATAAAAAATCTTTGCGGTCAATTATTGGTGTTTCTAGATTGAAGTTCGTTCTGGGAATAAGAAAGTTACTTTAGTGAATAATCTAGAAGTTTACGGTGTTGAATGCGCGCGATTTTGTCAACAAGTCCAGATAGGAGCTGCGACAAGTGCAACATGTATTAAAGAAGCACCGTTTTGTGAAGGTGCCCAAATTCTGGTTCAAGGAAATCAGGTATATTTTTGGTTATAATGAAATTGCGTACTATTTTTCTCACAAGTGATTTGCCATTTTGCTCTTCTTTTCTTATAAGCTTTCAATTGAATAAATAATGAATAAGAAAACTGGATAATCTGATTAATTTATGATCAAAATTGTAGCTATTAATCAGACATAAGAAAGAAGACGAAATTTAAATGAAGCTATACGAGAAATAAACATTCGATTGTTTTCAGATCCGTTTCATGAGTGAAATTTTGTCAAGTGAATTTGGTATTGATAAAAAATATATGACTGGTCTTGAATTGATTCCGAAAAACAAAAAATGAGTGGAAAATGCAAAGAAAAATAATTCGATGAATTGAGCTTCAGGCATTTTCCTTTTAGTTCTTGAACAAAGGAATTTTTATTTTTCTATTGTAAATTTTGTCGATATTTATAAATATTCAGTTGAAATCATTCGTTTTCTCTTTCTTTATTTTTCTCGAGCGAAAGTTAAAATAGAAGAAACCAAGCAAATGATGCTTGCTTTAGAAAAAGTTAGAAACTTTTAAAAAATTTAAAAAATTTAAAAAATTAATTTCATTTATTTGTTCGGGAATAAATAGCTCCTATCTGGACTTGTTGACAAAATCGCGCGCATTCAACACCGTAAACTTCTAGATTATTCACTAAAGTAACTTTCTTATGCCTATATTTAAAAAATTTTCTCTATTTACTCTATTAAAAAATTTACTCTATTTTTGAAAATTTTTTCCTATTTTCAACTATTACAACCATTAAAAAAATAATTTTCACCTTTCTCATAGCAAAATGAGTGATTGTAAAATATATATGGAAAAAAATATATATTCCATTAATTGGTTTTAATTTGATTGTTTTGCGATATAAGTGGGAATGCTTTTGTATGTAAAGCAGTAGCAAGCAACTTATTATCACTTTTTCTTAACACATCAGCACGTGTGTATGCTAAATTTTTGCCTGAACGCAATACACTTGCATCAATTATAATCGTTTCACCGAGTTTTACAGCAGACAAATACCTATAAATAGTATCATTTGTTTCAATTATCCAAGAGATTAAAATTATCAAATCAGATCAAAGAAATAATTCTTAGTAAAAATAAAAAACCAACGAAATGCAAAGGTCAACAGAAACACCGGGATTTGCTTTTTCTGTCGCTAACAAGGCGGTTGACGTAACAATATCGACAAGTGTTGCTGTGCATCCTCCATGTAATGTTCCCATTGGATTTAAATGTTCTTCAGCAACTTGAAATTCAATTTTTACGCGACCTTCTGATGCGGAAATCACTTCACACTAAATTTTTTTCAGGCTTATTTCAGTAATTTATTAGGCTTAGCCATTAATATAATATAAATGATAAAATGTCGATAGAGCCAATATAGCCAATGCTGCGTTAATTATCATTTCAAATATCTCATTTTGATATTCATATATATTCATATATCATTTCTTGACCACTATGCGAGAGAATAAAAATATTCATCAATGAGGCTGTAGTCTAGAATCATTTAAAATTACAGACTGTCATTATAAGTCAAAATCCTACTGATGCTGAAGGCTCATTCTTACTTTTATTTCCAATTTAGACGAAAAAATCTTGTTTTATTTACATTTAAGTTTTATACTAATAGGTATACCATTTTTTTTCCTCAGTGGTTGATACCATTGCATAAGTGAAACTTTTTCACCAGAGATATTTTTCGAGGATAAAAATGCTGGTGATCCACAGCACCACCGAAATTCCATTTCATATATTATATTCATAATTAAGATTAACCTACTATATAAAATTGAAAAAATGAATAACTTTTCCTGCACATTGACTGAAACCCTGGATTGCACGATATGTGTCGTAAGCTTTCTTTACAACGGATAAATATTTATTCGCCATATATTTTCCTGGCCAAATATCGGTTACATGAAATTTTTGAATGTAATCTTACCCTCACGTCAACAAAAAATACATTCTATTTAATACACATATTTAATCTAATTGCATTAATATCTTAATCATAAAATTTTCAAACTAGATATCTTTTATAAGTAGTATACTCAACAAACAACATCAAACAGCTTTTATTTTGCGAGAATTTATTCGATATATGAATCTTTTATGAAAAGAATTCATTCAAAATTATAATTATTATGACCAAAATTTTTGAAAATTATTGAGGAAAATTTATTTATTGCGGCAAATAATTTGTCCGCCTAATTAGTCTGGCTAGGTCATTTTAAAGCTATTTAGGTCGACTGAGATACTCATTATATTCTTACTCGCTATACTTATAAAAAATTTCATGGCCAAAGTCAAAAAAAATTGATAGCAACAGCTAAAATAATGTAAAAGAATGAATATGGACAAAAATAATGTAAAAGAATGAATCTGCTTATACTAGAATATTAATATTAATATTAATATTAATATATTTATTAAATAATGACACAGTGTAAATTTATTAAATTTATTAATCACAGTTTATTAAGAGATCGAAACCACAAAACAAAAACACAAAACTAAATTTTTTTCAAAGGTTTAAATAGAATGAAAATACAAATGAGGAGTTATTCGCCAAATAAAAATTGAAATTAAAAATAACATCAAAATTAACGTTCAATTTCAAAATCACTTTGATCGATGAAGTTTAATGGATATAATTTCACAGCCTCCGAAGATTTTTACAGGTGGTCCAAAATAATTGACTCCTGCTGATACATATAAATATGCTGATGACATATCGTGATAATAAAGACCACGCGCGTATGAGTTGAGTATATAAATCAACGGAACGAGTAAATATAGCTGTCCACCATGAGTATGTCCTGAATAAAAAAAAAGCAACTTGAATATTCTTTACATTAATAGCACTAATGCGATAGTACTTATCAGTAATCTGTCCATTAATCTTTATTTCATTTTTCAGCAGAATTTTAGCAGTTCCTTTTTTTCTATCAACATATTTTTCATTTTCTGTGGCTGGTTCCACTGACTATAGCAATTGAGGTTTTTCGATACATTAACATAAGAATAAGTTGGTAAGGTAATTTATTTATCCATATTTATGGAAAATGACGAAAGATGAAAAAAAATATGAATTTTTAAAAGACATACATGGATACATAGCTACCTTAATTTCACTTCTAAAAATAGGTTTCATCCAATTATAATAAACCCAATCCCAATTCATTCCCAATCTCATCGAAACAACATACGACTCTATCGCTCAATCACAAACGAAACCAAACAATAGATAAAATAACAGACAGATAACAATGATAACAAGAATAAAATATACTTAAATAAATAAATAATAAACATTATATATAATTTTTTTACCTGATAAAATAAGATCAATTCTTTGAGTTTTCGCTTTTTCGTTTAAAATAACTTTAGCTGCATTCGGCTGATGCGCTAACATAACAACTGTTGAATTTGCATTACAATTTAACGCTTTATTAAAATTCATTTTGTGACCAGGAATACTAAAAAGTATGCGTCAGAAAATAGATTTGCGAGTGGTTCGAGATATGTAAATTCAGTTAAACGTTAGTTTCAATGCTATAGCTTCATTTGTCATCTATATAACTGCAAGAATAGGCTTCAAAGCAATGCGGCAAAAAAAATCGAAAAAAAAAATTTAAGATTAAAAGACCTCAATATCTCGTTACAAAATTTAAAAAGAATTTTAAATATCCGAATGTCTGACGAAATCAAAATAGAGAAAAATGACGAAAATTGCAACAGTGATGCTTGGAAAAAAGGGCCCAAAAATTGAAATAAAATAATCTATAATAATAAATAATTTAAAAAACGACTGTGAACGTTCCGCAAACAAATCATCAACGCCAGCGAGGCACAATACTGAATTTCCGATATTAAGAGCAACATGTTCATTTCGTAAAGTTTTGATACTAAGACTGCTTAGATAATAAAGCCATTCCGTTATATTACCATGTATATATTCATGATTTCCTGAATTTAGAACAATGAAAATGATGAAAATAAATAAAAATTAATGAAAATACGATGTTATTGTTTATGCTTTACTGATTCTGATATATTTCACTGCCGTGAAGGATCTCAAAGATAAATAGGTTCTGCTCCAAAATGATGTGTCGGTAGTCCACATATAATATATTATTTATTATTTATAAGCATAACAGTAAGAATGACTGTTTGGTAGAAGATGTATAAGAAAAAAAACCAAAATATTTTTACTTATAATCTTTTGATAGAACATGGAATCGTCTTAATAAATCATTAAAACGATTAGAACGATTAGATTATAAATAATCAATAATTAAAAACGATTAAAATTAAGACTATTAGATTAGAATTCAACACTTTTTTTTCTAAAATCTCGCACCATTGCTGGTTTAGTTGGTTTCACTGGTAATTAAGTAGTTAGTAGAAAATTATTATCAAATTATTATACTGTGGAAAATTAATAGGTAAGTGTAAAATTCACAAAACAAACCGCTCTGATTTTAATCAAAGAGAATTATTAACGAAAAAACTGAAATCCCAAATGAAGGATGATAAAAAATATTAACCTGTTACGAAATATGTGCCATACTTAGAACGCAATTCTTTGAGAGGAAAAGCAGCATTTTCTAGATTTTTCAGTGAACCATCAATAAGATCACCCGATATTGCAATTATGTCTGTAGTTTTATTAATTTGAAAATATTAATTTCATCCGAGTCTCTTCAAAAATCGTTGATATCTCAAAAAATTTTAAAAAAAGACTTACCAGCATTTAACGAATTGGTTATGTTCACAGTTCGTTGTATATTTGAACGACCAACGGTTGGCCCAATATGAAGATCAGTAAGAAGTATAATATTCAAGCCTTCTTGGCTGTGTGGCAAATTTTTGATTGGAACTGTCACATTACGAATGACGGGTGGCAAAGAAGTTGCAATGAATCCAGCAATGACAAATCCAACTGACACAAAAATAGTAAATAATCGAAACAAAAATATATGAGACACGAATAATCTAAACGAGCTATTTTTTACAAATTTAAAACAATGAAACAATAAAATTATCAATATTATGAAAACTTGATAGATCGCGGAATAACTCAACTTTGCGATATTAAATTTGAATTTGGTCGGTCTTAAAGCAACACAGTAATTTATCCGTTAATAGTCTTACAACCTGCGGAAGAGACAAGAAAATTTGGCGTACTTTTTCTTAAAGGAAATATAAGTGGCTACTTTTCCACTTTAAAAGAAGTAATTAACCTAAAAATGCCGTTTTTTATTCCATATCGAAGCGCTAAACTAATAACTGAATTTGTTATCGCTAATAATGAAAGAAATATAAAAGCATGAATATAAATAGCCAAGGCGATGAACGCAAATAACGCCAACAAATTTGGTTCATCGTGAACCCAAAAATAATAAAATACGAACGATAAATGAGTAGATATAACAAATAAATAAAGCAGTGCCTGAAATATTTACAAAGATAAGGAAAAACTATAAGCTTTCTATGTTTGCAAGTGCCTTCAGATGCTTACAGATGAGTATTTTTTTAAAAGGGAATCTGCTGCGGGAATGCTGGTCTCAGATGGCACAGCCTCGTCGAAGAGACCTTAAGGACAGTTCCAGAAGCTAAAAAAAAACAGTCCTTAGGCCAAGAATCTGTCCAAGTTGATTAAAAATGAAACAAACTTTAAAAACATCTTGCAAGCATATCATTTTCCATCTTTTCGACGTTAAATTAATCATTCGATTACCAACAAAGCTGCAAGAAAAAAATATTTTAAATTTTCGAAATTCCAATTTTTTTTAAAAATATTTTTGCAAAAAATATTATAATAATATTTTTTCATTCAAAATTTCTTAAATTAAATAAGTTTTAAACGTCTTTTCTACTCATCCTTAAGATATTTCTACTTTTTTATAAATAGTGCTCCACAACAAATTACTCTCCTTTTTTGACAAAAATTTGACGATCGCTTTATTAATCACATGCGGTCGCAACCTTGATCATGTATCTTGGGCCGTATTATTTTCGAAATAATCGTTCACTTTTGCTAAAAGGCGGCCCCGGTTGGGTACCATCCCTAGCCGAATTACTTTGAAATTTTAAATGGGGCTTAAAAATGCATAAAAGCATATAAACTAACTGTTCTATGGTCTGTGAGAGATGAAAAACAATAAAGCATGAAGCAATAATCATAAAAATCTGTTGAATAAAAAGAAAATGAAGCCTGGAAATTCGTGAGTACCACAATGAATCATTAACAATGTATTTCAACAAAATGAATATAAAATGCCAAGTAATTATTAACAGAATTAAGACAATAAATCGCCAAAGCATGGTTATAATTAGTTAAAACAAACAACCTGCAAAAAAATCATAAAAATTTGATGATTTGGACCTTCTGGACGAAGACCGTGGATGCGGGCGTAGAGCACTTTAGCACCAGCTTAATTTGCAGGCATACTGAATATGTGATATTTGACCTAAGCTTGAAGCAAATTTCCTAGAAATTTAAGAAAAAAATTCGTAAATGATGTGAGTGAGGGTTTGAGCCGAACCTGGAGAATTATCGGCCGTTTTTTTCATATCTTTGACTTATTACCTAATAAGTGATTAGGAAGAGATTAGGGATTTGCTTGGGAAGTACCAGAACCAGGTCTTCTGCAATTTATTCAATTTCTCTCAGTTCACAACAAAAACAGAACAACCAAATCGATAGCGAAAAGCGATAACATGAAAATGGGAAATTTCACAAGAAAAACGAATCCTCTCCCCTGTCCACGTTCTTTCTACAACCTGAGACCTTAATTCTCCTTCCGCCACCAACCTGTCATGGCTCCTACCCTGAGCACAATTTAAACGCCTTTTTTCGGAAGCCAGGGACAGTTCTTTCGCGTCCTATTTCTCTTTCGGAGTCTCTAATCCTTTTTTTAATTTTTCGACTACTTCTCTTCAGGGTTATTTTTTATATCGGGAAAATTACTGCCTTAGAGTTTCTTCATTTTCTTGCCTCTTTAAATCCCTATTTTTCTCTGCACACTAAATAAATATATAAAAGCTATGGTGCTGCTGACTGGCGCAATATTCGTCCTTCACACAAAACATAGATTAAGTTGTTCTCTAAAACTCGAGTCCAGTGAGATGGTCGTGGGGGGTTAAGGAGGAGTCGTTATTGGTACTCTTTTGCTTAAATCGGGCAGTCAAACCAGGCTGTCGAAAGAAAGAAAGAAAAGAACCAGAAAGAAAAGATGTAATGGTTCAAAATTATGTTCAAAATCTGCAATGAAAATTAAAAAATCAGGCGGCGGCGTGCTTGCACTTCTATCCTCAGCTGACTCTCATTCCAGTAGCCAGTGCACTGATTAGCCTGAACAAAAGTGATAAATGTTAATCATCGATAAATTATGAATATAGTTGTGATTCGAACTTAAATATCGACTGCATTTTCCTCAGGAATTCATTAATAATTCAATCCTAGAATAAAATCCAAGACGAATGAGCCGAAAAAATTACTGAATCGAACATTTAATAGTTATTTTGTTGAAATAAGTGTTGAAATTTTATTTATATATGAATTTTTCCAACCAAATTTATCGTATGACCCGGAGTTGACCTTTGTAATGGATCGGAATGCAGCAACAATATGTTCTAAAAAAAACCTGTGGATCGTTTCTTCTTCTTCTAGTATCTCACACTAATGCTGGTTTGGCTAGCTCCACCGGTGAGGTGGCAAGAATAAGGCGTTTCCAAGCCTCCTCCTGAAAATACCTGAGTCCACTTCACTACTTTCCACCTCCTAAGTTAGTATTTCGCCTGTGCATTCAAAATCGCTCGCTCTAAGCCTTGTTGGTTACATCCGTTCCGCTGGCTTTTCGGACCAGAAAAAGTGAGTCGCCGGCATTTTTGAAGGATGGATTTATTTATTATTGCTGAACGTGGAACTTCAGCATCCGCGCTCAGAAACAAAAATAGCAACCCACTGAGTCATTTCATCCACATTTGCCTTCGCCGTTCGCTGAACGAAACATGGCGCATCGGTCAGAGCCGAACCAGAGCCATCCTTGATGCATTGTTAGCAGTCATTAATTTTGCACATTTTATTATTTTGGCTCATTTATAAAAATCGAAAGCAGAGATTCGGCTTAGGCTTAGAGCGAACCCCCAAAACCCCCGCTGCTGTTTCTATCAGCAAGTGAGTCCCTCGCAAAAACTCCACTAATATGAACTCCACTAATATGAACTCCACTAATCGGAGCGCCAACCTAACTTTGTTTTGCGTATGTTCAGCGGCGATTTTTTGCATCTTATTTTTTGTGATGATTTCGTTTTTTATTTTTAATTCCCCGGGAAATAACATTGCCACTTTTCTTTGTGGATTGGCAAGTTAAGTTAGCAGTTTAATGGCTCGGGCTCGGCCTATTCCACTTTTGCTTGCTTTCCGTCGAATACACGCCATTCGACTTTCCTGCTTCTTTGCCCTAATCCGAGCAGTCCTTATCAACACTGAATCATTTTTATAACTCATCCACTGAGTCTCGCATTTCCACAGCGTCTCGCTTCGCAAAGAGCATTGAAGTTGTGCGATTAAATGAGGGCGACCTGTGGAACCTCCTTCACCCAATGTTCCATTATTTATTTTTCTCTTCTCTTATAATCCATTTTTATGTATAATGCAATCGCAGAAATTGCAAAATGTCGATAAACCTAAGCAAATCGTATCGATTTTTCGACTCGATTTTTCGATTAAAAACATAAATTATCGTCGATGTAATGTAATGAATTAATTAATTTATACGTTAAAAAAACGGCAAGCGAATTCTAAAGATTGTTTTTGTGCTTAAATATTTATTTTCTCAATTAGCTCGTTGTTATTCTCAAATTGAATGAATCAACTTTCCTGCGAAGTGTTCAGCGCCCTCCATTCATTCGCCACGGAAGTTGGCCCTGCGAACCGATGAGCATCGGTGTGCAAGGGAACTTCTGTCGTCTCTCATCGTCACTGCCACTGAGGTTCGAGTTCGCGACGCACCGCTCCTCGTCCAGAAAGTAGAGGGGAGGAGAGCCTCAGTGAGGTCTTTGCTGGCTTGCTGAGCGCCGACGCTCCCGGCAGGAGTAAACGTGCCTGAAACCCTGGCGACGCTGGCGATTCACCGCCAAGGAATTCCAGAGGAGCGAGTCTAAACAGAAATACTAAAAAATTCAATATTTGCCGGTATGTTTGTTAATTAATATTTAAACTGAGTTGGGTAGTCGTGGGAAGTTGTTGGTTAGCAAATGCTTAAAATGCCCATTTCGATAGGAATCCATCGTAGTGTTTATTTCCTTGCATCCATTTATTATCTGAAAAGCAAAGTTTCCCGATTATAGTTGTTAAAGGGAAACAGAAGAGAGAAGGAAATATTTGATCTTCTTGAGAACCAAATTTCGGACTTTGTCCTTGTTAAATGCAGCGAGCCTAAATCAAACCAAAAGTATGCTGAGTGCTACCGCGAACTCACTTTTTTCTTCTCACACTGCCATCCATAAGCGACTCTGGTAAAATTTTCTCATCGTATTGGCAGCCACTGAACGAGCGTACTTGGCAGTGGTGGACGGCTAACTACTTACATATTGGTAAAAAAATAATGAAATATAGAAATGTAAAATGATATGGCCCATGTAACGAACAAAAGGAAATTCGTGTCGCGTTTAAATTTCAAGTCGTTATCCCCTTCCGTTAAAAAAGGTATCGTAATCGTAACTCGATCGTTGTCGCATTCCTCAAACTTGGCTAATTAAGTCAGAGTAAAATACAATGGCCATAAATGCGATTTCGCTATTCTTATTAAATTTTTAACTTAAAAATTCTTTTTACATAAAATTTTTATAGCGTTTATGAATTATGAAAAAACCATTAAAAAAATAATTATCGAAATTTCAAAGATTTCTTTTTATTCGGTCAAATTTAAAACATTTTATTAAAAATTATTCTTTTTCGCTTCGCTTGGGGTACATTAGATGGAATCGCAGTAACCGTTCGCAACTCATTTTCTGTATTGGTACTAAGTTTTTCTTTCGAAATTGCCTTTATAACTGTCAAAGAGTAGGGATCGAAGTTGTGTTACATGCGTTCAGTTCGATCATTCCGAATTCATTTATGGCTTAGGACGGCTTAAGTCGACGATTAAAAGACCGCGAATATCCGTGGTTCGGTGATTCGTATATTCGTATTTTCTACCATTTTATAACTAAATGTGGCACAAATATATTTAAGTTAATGCGAAAAAAATTAATGATGCGAGTAGCGCTTTATGCATAAATTATGGGAATTCATTTCGGAAATGTGGTGGCTATTTTTATTTTTAAACTTTGAATTTGCCTACTAAAAGCTTTCGCTAAAATAAGGAAAATGGATGCTTCTCGACGTTGTCATTCGTTGATTCGTTGTCGTTTTCTTCAGTCTAAACCGATTTTTCCTTACTTATTTCTTTTTTCTTAAGATTTATCGTAGAAATATTTGAATTTTTGCAGAGATTCGTCCTTTTTTTATTAGTTTCTTCCAGATTTCTTCTGTTTCGAGGAAACGCATTTCTCTTTCTTTTTTTCGATTTTCGTTGAATAACCGATTAATTGCGAAATTTTTTTTAATAATTATTCGCATAACTGAGAATTTAGTTCAGCAACTATTTCCTTGTATAATTCGGATTAATTTTATAATTTTTAACATTCTTAGAATGAACAATTAATCTCGCATTATAGAAGA